GAAATACTAGTACATGATCGATAGTATTTTTAAAGCTTGGGTTATAGTTTGATTGAAATTTTTTTTTCTTGTGGAACATAAAATAATTGTTTATCTTAAAATAAATATGGTAAAATAAAGAAAAACATAAAAAGTTTATATTACATAAAATTTCTTTAGAAACTGTTTTTGCTCTAAAAATATTTAAGTTTTTCACATTACTACTCAATACTTAAAACATTTAAGAATAGACTTTAAATTTAATTATTTAGATAAGCAGGGTAAAATAGTAATACGATCCATTATCCCAATTGAAAAAGTCCTCTTATTGTGGGTTAGAATTTTAGAAAAATAAATAATGGCATTTTAGAATGGTTAATGAAGACGATTTTGTGCCCTGATATACGGAAGTTGAAAAAAAATACAGTCTTGGTGTTTGTAACATAAAGCTGTTTTGGTGCAGTTTGCGTTCCAAAGCTTCCTGAACTGGGAGCTTCATCTCCAGTGTGATGGTGCTGGGTGGTGGAACCTTTAAAAAGTGTGGCGTGGGAGAAGCTGACTTGGTTCTGGGACTCTATGCTTGTGCACAGACTAATGCTGCCTCTTGAGAGTGGGTCAGGTTTCACAGGACAAGACTAGCTCTCTGGAGGATGACTGTTTGTGTTGTGTCTGGCAAGCACCTAAACAATTGTTCTGTGTGCACTGTTCGTCATTGCCGCATGTCCTCCTCTTTCCACATTCTGTCCTCCCAAGGGCCCCTGCAGAGCCAAGGCTTTGCAGCAGCTTGTTTTTAAGCCTCTAGAATGCCAGCTGGAGATGTAGGGCCCATCTAGGTACATCTTGAAAAATGGCATTTAAAATTTAAAAGCCAATCCTTTTCATTTCTTCCTTAATTACATATTCAACTAAATTCATAACATGCAGTAAGAATTAGCTCCTATAGAAGTGAGGTTGCTGTATTTTTCTTCCCAGGAAACAAAGCACTTTATAAAATTGTGGAAGACAGTAATACTTCTTCTCCCCAGTCATGAGTCATTAAAACTCCAGAAAGTGGCTTAGCCTTGAATTAGGATGGCAGCCTGCTTCTGGGTTGCCTAGTAACCTATGATGTCATCGTGTGTAGTCAGGTAGACACACCTGGCAGGAGCCATTCAGTTGTGCAGGAGCTGTAACTGCTCCTTTGCCTCTTACTCTGTATCTTGCTTTTTTGTGCTCTCTTGCTCTCTCCTCTTTCTCTGTTGGAGGACCCCTCCCATCCCCCATCATGTCTCTCTTTTTCTTCTCTCTCTCCATCTACATCCAATAAACCTTTTTCATATAATATATGTTGTGCGCATCCTTTTTAATATCAATGATTAAATGATTACACCTACTTTCTTCTGTCCAGCTGCCATACTGTTTCAAGTGGCGTGACAAGTTTTAAGTCTTCTAAGATGATTTTTTGATATTATTGGAGTGCAGAGAGTTTAATTTTGCTCTGTTAGATTAATACAATTTGTACATAACTGGTCCTCTGTGGATGAAAAGGTTTGTTATGATTCCTGTGATGAAAAGGGCCGAAACATGATTATTCCAAGCGGTCAAAGTAGGTAAGGGGGAAGGCTGTGGGTATCAATTTTTATTTCATAAACCCAAGATATGTTTATCATGTAATGATGTCTGTAGGTTAACACCTACCCTTTGCTACATGCAAGAAAGGCATTCTTTCTTACCAACAAGGAGCAGGAATTATTTGGGGTAGATGGCTTTCCAGAGAGATGTTAAATGTAGTCATCAAGAAAAGACACTAATTTTGATGAGTGATCACTTTACTACCCTAAGCTACATAAACATATTGTCATGGAAGTTTTACAAGAACCTTGTAAGACAGAAACTCATATCCTCCATTTTCTGTAGGAGGTACCTAACCAAAGAAAAATGTAGGAAAACAGCCACCTAAATCCTTCTGAAATTCTATAAACAAACATCATCATTAAATTATTAGAAATAAGGTTTAAGGGTCCATGTTTAATCCTAAGAACCATATTATAAAATTCAATCATTTTCCTTTATTTAATAGCCTCTTACTATATTTTAAAATAACAATTTAGATTTGGAAGAAACCAGTTTGAATTTACGGAACTTGATCAGATCTCATTGGATGGGGCTGGGAGGACTCCATCCTGGGACTCTGACTCGGGCGGTGTCAAGTAAAGTGAACAGCCTGACATATCCTGGTTAGGGTAGGCACTCAGGCAGCTCTCCTCCAGCCTTGCCAAGAACAGCTACCAAATATAAGATCTGGTCCAAATACCTCAGCTGTCACTAGTGGCGAACTCAGGAACCAAACTTGTATAGCATTCCCTTAGCCAAGCCTCAGCTGACACTGGTAAGGAGAAAAGTCAAAGTCAGGCTATGCATCACAGTCAGATAACTTTATTAAAATTTTAGTTCTTGTTGTCTATTTTTACATTTCTGTTCTAAAACTTATTCTATAAAAATAAAAAGCCCTAAAAAAATTATGCTCCTGAATACAATGTTTGAGCTGAATTATAAATTGCTTCAAACTCTAATTTCTGGTTTTATTTTTTTAACTGAAATTTTTAAAATTTTTATTATTAGTTACATTTTATTAACTTTGTATCCCAGCTGTATCCTGCTCCCTCATTCCCTCCCAATCCCATCCTCCCTCCCTCATCTCCTCCCTGTCCCTTTCCAAGTCCACTGATTGGGGAGGACCTCCTTCCCTTTCATCTGACCCTGTTTTATCAGGTATCTTGAGGACTAGCTGCAAAGTCCTCCTCTGTGGCCTAGCAGGACTGGTCCTCCCTTGGGGGGTGGGGAGGTCAAAGAGCCTGCCATTGAGTTCCTCTCAGAAATAGTCCCTGTTCCCCTTACTATGGGAAACCAATTGGTTACTGAGCTACCACAGGCTACATCTGAGCAGAGGTTCTAGGTTATATCCATACATGCTCCTTGGTGGAGTATAATGCAATATAAATGGCAATGACATCAGTTTGTGGAAGATTTGAGTTAATGTATTGCATGATATATTTGCAAAACAGAATGGTTAAATCATGGATAAAATATATCTGAAAGTTATCACTTTCTAAATTCATCTAATAATATCTAGTTGACCCTGCAAGGCACCCCTTTGCCTAGTTTTTTTCTCTCTCTATGTCTCATCTCTTTCTCTGTTTACACACTATCATTTGGGGAGAAAAATCCAGAAAATTGCTCACTGCATCAACTTTCCCATGATTCTGCTGGGAGAACGGGAGAAGTTAAGTCTGTAGTTAAGCTCTTTTAGTTTTCTCCTAGTTGTTTTTTTTTTTTTTCTACCTGTGTTCTCCTAACAGTCTTTTTTTCCAAGCCAACTCCAAAAGCCTAAAAGTCCTGGGCCCATTTTAGAAGTTTTTTTTTTTTTTTTCCCCCCTGTGGACAGTTTTGAAGTCTGTAGTTAAGTAAGCTGGAATAACTTAGTATGATGCAGATGATAAGGTTGCAGATGGATTTAAAAAATTATTTGCAGATGATTTCAGATGAGGTATAATCACAATTTTCTTTCTTTCTTTCTTTCTTTCTTTCTTTCTCTCTTTCTTTCTTTCTTCCTTTCTTTGAGACAGGGTCTTTTTATGTAGCCTTGGCTGCTCTTGAGCTCACTGTGTAGACCAAGCTGGCCTAGAACTTACAGAAAAATAAGCTTGTCTTCATTTCTGATGCTGGTACTAAAGGCGTGAGCCACTGCTCCTGGCTTATAATTACATAGTTTGTTCTAAATTATGCTAAATTATAGTTTTCACTAATTTCCTTCAAGAAAATAAAATAAAAATTTAAAGTATTGTTTTCAAACTTATCATATCTAAATCGACTAGATATTAAAATTTTCACTTTGCAAATTCTACCTAGATTTGTGTGTGTGTGTGTGTGTGTGTGTTGTAATTTGCTCCACATTGTTATGGTGCAAATAAAGCATTTAAAAAGAAACTCTGGGCATGAACAATAGCATCATGTTGGATTTGTAGATTGGGCATTTATAATTCCTCACTTGTCTTACCTCACTACTCAGTATCAAATAACTCTTGGTAATGTAAGATTTAGCTGTCAGTCTCCTGATCTCAGAGAAGGACTAGTGTCGCACCTGATGGCTTACCCCTACCAGCAGTCATGCAGCAATAACTTTACCTATTAACACCAAACACAGCAGCTATCACAGTGAGCTAGAAAGCCAGCCACTCCTGACCCCTTAGCTTATAGCGAAGGGCATTTGTTACTTTGTGTTTGCTAGAATTTTCCAAACTAACTAAGGCTTCCTGATTCCACAGTACTATTGTGTGGATCAAGTGACCCCTGGTCACAAAAATACCCTGGAGACTGACTCCCCTGGCGCCCAGGTTCTGAGCGTGGTCAGTCATTCCACATGCCTGGCTGATGAGCTGTCTTTGCCATGATGAGAGATTTCCTTCTCAGGTTTTGTAACCCCCAAAGGAAAAGTAAAATGGAAAAGTCAAGTTTTTAAAAACTTACAAGAAAAATGCATGCAGAAATCTTGCGCAAGACATTTTCTAGATGAGGTGTATCTTTCTGGTCTTTTAAAAAGATATTCTTGTCCAAACAATAATTTTTTTTTATAACAGATGCATAGAATTGCAAACATTCATTATACTGGATTTTTTTTGTGTGTGTGTAAACCATAACCAGATATTTCTAATTATACCTTTCCCATGCATGCGTAGGATAAGCCAGTTTTAGTCTCCTTTTATGTGGTTTATTTTATTACAAAACACAGTAGGACTGAAAGAAAACACGCGTCCCCTCAAAAACTATTTCATCGACTTTCCCCCCCAACCCCCGTTTTGCCTAGTCTCTCATTATGTCTTGGATAGTGAAATTTTTAGATAGCCTACTCATTTTTTGACGGTGCCCTTCCAAAGCTTCGGTTATCGGTTATCGTTGGCGTCAGCTCCTAGTGTAGCTCAGTCCCGGACTGCTGCACGGTGAGGCAGAGTCCCCTAGGAGCCGGTGCTGTACTCTCTGAGTCCTGGACAAACTACTCTAGGCTGGATATGAAGCCCAGGGCGTTCTGCCTCAGAGGCTCATAAACTTAAGGATATCGGGACTGGAGAGCATGCAGTCCCAGCCTCCTCCTCATCTCTGTCCTCAGGATTTTACACTTTTTTCTGCAGGAGAATCATGCAAGATCAGAGGATCACAGAGTTCTTTCCTGCCACCCTAACCGGATTCTTGCAGTGAAAGGAACCGTAGCGCCCAGTGACTGCAGCGGGTCCTACAGTCCGAGGTAAAAGCAAAGTCTTTTCAGGGAGGCTGCAAGAGCCGCGGGTGGTTGCTGACACAGGACTGCAGCATGACCCCGCGGCTCCCCCAGATCCCCAAGTGAGTGAAAGCTGGATGGAACCCACACCGGCAACGCCGCTGCGGCTCTTAGAAAGCTTGGTCTCTTTGGAGCCTGCAAAGGGAGTAGGAGATAGAGCCAGGGCTCTCGCAAGAGGCAAAAGGGGGGCTTCTGTTCCCCTCCCTTCCCCCTCTCTGCCCCCTCCTGCCACCCTCTCACCCGGACAGCTGTCCAGCTCTTGTAATTCATTGGCTTCCCCTGCCCCGCCTTCCAAATCCAGTTTAGCCCCCTACCTCACCCCGCTGACCTAATAAGGCCATGCAGACTGCTGGAGACCTATATAAAAGGGAGAACTCTTGGGGCACTTTGCAGGAAAACGGGAGCAAGAAAAGGCAGGAGCTGTCCAGCGCTGAGAAACACGAAGGGAAGGTGACCATGGCTAAGGAGTGGGGCTATGCCAGTCACAATGGTGAGTGGAGCCAGGCCCTAGGTGGTGGCCCTTGGAGTTGCACAGGTGTGCTGGAAAACATGCGCATAGGAGTAGTTACGAGCTAGCATATGTTAGTTCCGTAGGCGGTCCGTGCTGCTTTTTCCTTTCCTCCCGGGGAGCCTGAAGCTCCGATACACACCATAACCAGCTCAGGGTCTGATGATGTGTCTGAGAAGTCACTCAGCCCGAGGTCAGGTATAGTTGAAACTGAGCAGCGAGGACTCGGCCTTTTTGAGCATGGGGTCCCTTAACAAATTTTGCTTTGATCATGTCAGCCTCAGCCGGAGGTTAAGAGAAGAAAAGTGTCTCTTGAGAGTTGCAAAAACTTGTGATCAACCTGTGATTAATTTCAAAGATAACTGTTTCGGGCTACATGATCCCCAAGCCAGGGGAGGGAAGACAGAGACTGGGAAACTCTTTGAGCATAGATAAACAGGGTCCAAAATAGGTTTGAGATCAAAGTGCGCTGTTGCTCCATCTGAACTCAAGACCTTTTTGTAACACTCTTTGATCTCTGTGTATTTTGTTGGTATAACCCACTAGGAAGAGGCCATGGGTTGTACTTTAAATAAATGTGGTGTTTTGTTTGTTTGTTTGTTTTTTATTTCCTAGGTCCTGAGCACTGGCACGAACTTTATCCAAATGCCAAGGGGGACAACCAGTCACCCATTGAACTGCACACTAAAGACATCAGGCATGACCCCTCTCTGCAGCCCTGGTCAGCATCTTATGATCCTGGCTCTGCTAAGACCATCCTGAACAATGGGAAGACCTGCAGAGTTGTGTTTGATGACACTTATGACAGGTCTAGTAAGTACAGCACTTCGGAAGGGTCTGTGGGTGTTTTCAGCCTCTATTGGCAAGATGCAATTTGAGACACAGTGGAGTTAGCGGGAAGAGGGAGAAGTTTTTCCCTCAGCAGGATCAGCTTGGCTCTAGTTGTAAAGAGCAATATCATGCAATGAAGAATGTCATACTCTCTACCTGTAGTCACACTGTTGCTGCAAAATGGCCATGTGCCAAAGCTAAAAGTTAGCAACACGCTTCAGAGACAGAATGTGGATAGGGAGGGCAAGGCAGGGAATCCATGAGAACTTTAGACCACTGAACGACCACATTCTTATGTTTCCTGATAGTATGGAGAACAGGCTCCCCAACACAGTCAAGTAATAAAATGGGCCTTTTTTCCCTGGGTGGCTGGAAGGAGGCAGTTAATGGAAGATGGTCAGGCTGCTTTGTGAGTTTAAGTGACCTGGTTTCCATACTACCTCACTGGAGTTAATCCAAAGAATCTCTGTGGTGAGGGTTTCTGAATATATGAATGTCCACTTCTTCTTGGGTGTATGTTAGTGTGAACTTGGAAAATTCATGTGATTAAAAAAGACTACACTAGTGACCAATCTGTGAAATAAAATAAAAATAATTTGAAATACTCTATTTCAGACAGACTTAATGGCTCACACCTATAATCCCAGTACCCAAGAGGCAGAGACAGGAGGATTGCCACATATATGAGGATAACCTAATGAGTTCTTCCTAATTCGTTCTAAGCCAGCTTGAGTTACAGAGTGAAACTTTCTTTCCAAAAAAAAAAAAAAAAAAAAGCAAGCTTTATTTCACTGCAAGTAACTCTAAATAAGAATTATTCTTTAGTCATCAAGAATGAAATTCTTAGAGCCACATTTCTCATAAAGCTAAAATTTCCTTTGTTGATAAATGTGAATGAACATCCTGGTGATGTCATAAGAAATAATGATAGAGTTATAACTCCCCCCTCCCAGGCAAGGAAGAGGACAGAAGTGTACTGCTTCTTGAGCAATTGCTTCATGTGGTGCTTTCCTAGTTTTCCTTTGCCTTGAAAGCTGAAGTTCCATTAGGAAGGAAAAAAACAAAAGAAACAAAATTAAAGACCTCTTGTCACACAGAAGCACACAAAATACGATTTTTAAAACAAAAATAGTGAAATTTTAGAGATTTAATATGGTCTATCCAAATAAATTAGACTCATCTAAATCATAGCTATTTTCAGTGATTGGACAGGAAAATAAAACAAATCGAAAAACTTCTTTCCCATTTGATTGGGCCTGTTCAAGTCTAGCATTGTTGCTTTAAGTCTGCACTGTGAGTTTCCTGTGTCAGTGAGAGAAACCAAGCTTTCCAAAACAGCTGCCAGTATGATACTATTTGCACCTTAGACAGCTGAATCTTGACTTTAGGGTTTCTGTACAGTTGTCATCATCTTTGGAATATATTTGAGCCTTTAAATTACTCTGTAGGCACAATCAATTGAGACCTAAATACAATCAATTGGGTCTGCTGTACAAACCCAAACCAAGAATGCTCATATATACCAGTCCACCCTGACTAGCTTCCTGGGAAATTTCTGAACTTTTGTTTCATCTGATTTGAGTACACATAGTTTAAAGTAGATGTGCATGAGAGTTCTCTCTTATAATCTAAGAAAAAACATAACTACAAGTAGGACACAAAGAAGGAGTTCCTGCTTGCTCAGTGATCCCTGACAGGGCACTGTGAGATGAGCACCATTTCAGTGCTTAATCTCAGTTAATCCTCACAGCAGCTTGCAAAGTGTGGAATTATTATCACCTTCTTAGGGAGTCAAAGACCAGTTCAGAAAAGTTGAGTGTCTTGCCTGAGATCACGCAACTATGCAGGAGTGGACTCGGAAGTGGCACCAAAATGGTGTCAGATGTCCAGCAATTCCCTACAGTACTGAACTACTAACCTGTTCTCAGGGTCCTCACAGTGTCTCTGATACTCTAATTTGGTTTCTAAAGTCTTAAAATAACAAGGCTGTCATTCTGGCTGTAGGTTACAAGATGGGATGGCGTCATCTTCCCAGAAGGAGACATCTTTTACTCATGGAGTCTTCTGTAGAGCTCTTGTTTCAGATAGCACTCTGCAGAGTCAAGCTGAACTCACCAGTCACCTTATTATCTTACAGTGCTGAGAGGTGGTCCTCTCCCTGGACCCTACCGACTCCGCCAGTTCCATCTTCACTGGGGCTCCTCAGATGACCATGGCTCTGAGCACACAGTGGACGGAGTGAAGTATGCTGCTGAGGTAGGAGGAACTGCCCAATCTACTCTAAGTCTCCAACAGCCAAAACTGGGAAATTAGAAACAACTGCAGAACGCTTTCTGCTTCCCGCATCTCACTGAAGATACTGTAGCTTTAACACAAAGGGAAGCCACCAAATATCCTAGGTCAGAGAGAAGCGGACAGGTGGGTGAGCATCCTCCATGGATACTTCTTGAATTGCACTGAGAAATGGCCACAGTCTTGAATGAAACCAGAGCAGTAAGGCCGCTGATGCATGTGAAACGCCTGTGTGCATCATTTGCTCATTTGATCCCCACCACCATATGTACAAGGTTATAGACAGGCAACCGACGCACATAGGGTTATATCGCAGGGGCAGGGTGCCTGGACTGGTATTTTTGGTACAGGCTGGTTTCAGATAACTCTTTTATGCTTCAAAGACAGCGTTTAGCAATTACAAACAATTCTTACTTTCTGTTTAAGAAAGTATGCTTGTACTTGTATGAATCTCATTTGAGGGCATAGTTTGTATATGGAACAAGACAAGCCCCCTCCCATTTTCACTGGGAAGCCAAGTTTGTATAGCATTACACTAGAAGTGAGCAAAAATCCTTCTTTCTGCTCCACTCTTTCTCAGGTCAGATGCTGGTGAGCCCCGAGATGAGATGGCAATGTGGCTGTGACAGCATACCATAGCTGATCCCTTTGGGACCACACTGGATACTTAACTGTTGGCTAAAAAAAAGCCAAAGAAACTCCAAGTACTAACCAGGCCTGGCCCTAGCTGGTTTACAGATTAAATGAGATCACATTTAGGGTAGGATGCCTATTTCTCTACAGTCCAATCTAGGGAGCTGGATTATTAGGATTGTCTTACTGCTAGACATTTCCTCCACCACTGGAGAAAGTTCAGGCAATTTTTTTTTCCAAATGTGGGAAAGGCTTTGAGTGTGATGTTTGTGTATGAGATTACCTCACATTTTTTGAACTTGAATATAAATTTTAAGCAGCTATAAACTAGTCACTTGCCATTCTACGTAACTCAATATTGATAACTTGATTACTTAAGCTGTACTCATGTCCTAAATTAAAATAAACCAGACCCTGGAGCTCAAGTGGAGGCAGATGACTTCATACACTTTTTATGTGAACTATTGAAATTTCACCAAATTGCTTATTAATGTTCAGAATTTCATCAACGTCCATGAAAATGTTCATTTTGAGACTGCACACATTTGGGTCTCCTGTGTATAATAATACTCCTTTCCATATCCCAAGGGTTGATCTCACAGTCTGTGTTTGGTGATTGCAGCTTCACCTGGTTCACTGGAATCCAAAGTATAACACCTTCGGAGAAGCACTGAAGCAGCCTGATGGAATTGCTGTTGTTGGCATTTTTCTGAAGGTGAAGTAGACATTGATAGTATTTTTTTTTTCTTGGTCAGAATGTAGTCCCTTACTAAAGGTTAGGAGATGATGCACTCCATTCCGTCCTTATACTTGAGGCATGTGGCTTACAGCTTCTGAAGAGCAAAGGCTGACATGCGTTCATTTTCCTTCCCCACTACTCTATCTTCATCACGCTGGAAACCAGAAAGCCAGCGCTGGAAACTTCGGTGATGCCAAGTGCCTGGCTAGACCTTTCCTTGGCTTGTAGCAGCCACCACCCACAGGATCTCAGGCTAGGGTGGCAGAAGGAATGTGTGTGTTGTTCGGCCAACCATGGTTTAAAGTGGACTTAGTGCCGTTAACACATGAGCTTCACGGTAACCCAATCTGGAGTTTAAGCCAGCAGTGAAAATACGGCTTTTGCTTTTTTCATTCCAAATGACCTGGTTTGTTCTGGGTTCTGAATTCACTGAGTGCACTGAGAGGGAAGACAGTAAGTTTGGTTGTAGATAGAAAGTCGGCTCTAGCTTTTGCTCTTAAAAAATGGAATGACTTTGCAGAGAGGGTCAAGGACATAGAGTTGGAACAACATGTAATTTTGTGGTTTTGTACTTCAGAGGACTCAAATCCAAATTTAGATCTGAAAATATATACTGTACAATCTTTCAGGGTGAATAAACTTACATTCGGCTTAGCCTGAGAATGTGGAAGAATTATAAAAACTGTTTCTGTGTGGATGGGTCAAATCAGTTTTAAAGATGATCTTCAATTATGGAGAGGGGAAAATATCTCATTGGACACCCATTTTCTTACAGATAGGACGGGAGAAAGGCGAGTTCCAAATTTTCCTTGATGCCCTGGACAAAATTAAGACTAAGGTAAGAGTGAATCATTTCCCCTATGCAAACGTGAGACAATATCAATTGTCTTTTCGGATTTTGGGAAAAGCTGCCACTGCCTGACGGATGATCTGTGCTTGCGTACAAAAGTAAACGCCCTGGCATTTGTTTAGTGTTGAGATCTTAGAGCACTGTCACACCTGTTATATCATGTGTCAGTCAGAATGCCAAATAAGAGCTTTTTGGAGGAAGAAGGTGAGAGGTTCTGGGTTCTCCTCTCCTCTCTGTGCTACCCCTGTGGTGAGCACAGGATCGCTGAGGTTCTCCATGCCAGCCACCGTCACTCTTTCAATCCTTGTATTGCCCTTTTCTGGTAGTCCTATATATATATATATATATATTCAGTATAAACAGTAAACTCTTAGTTAAAACTGACAGGCACATTTTCGTTGTCTTTGAGGTTATTGTAAGTAGCTGCTTTTAGGAGTGAACACTAGAAGTAAGTATTTTGAGCATGGAGTGTGCTAAAGTGAACGTCTTCAAACCAAACTTCCAAGAAGAAATTCTATTCCAGCCTGTGTCTTCTGTCAGAAAAGACAGAATCGCAGCCCCATCAACCGTTAAAAACAAGGAATAAAAAACTGCAGTGACTATGACAGATAAAGTCGGAACATAATGCAGATTCCTGTCATCTTTGGTTTACTAGTGAAGGGCCTGAACCCGTTCAATTATCTGGTGCTATTGAAATCAGTTCTCATGAATGACCAGGTGAGGCCTCTAGGGGGCGCTGGGTGCACGTGCCCGCTTAGAGCGCTTGCTCCGTGTCTTCCAGGGCAAAGAGGCTCCTTTCACGCACTTCGACCCATCATGCTTGTTCCCTGCTTGCCGCGACTACTGGACCTACCATGGCTCCTTTACCACGCCGCCCTGTGAAGAGTGCATCGTGTGGCTGCTGCTGAAGGAGCCCATGACCGTGAGCTCAGACCAGGTGAGCGAAACTGCAGGGCCCCGTGTGTGAACTGTGGACTGTAGACCCATGCTAAAGCTGGGGCACACAGATGCTGAATGCCAGAGCGCTGGTGTGGTCCTCAGACGGCTCACAGTGTGCCCTGTAGGAATGCCCTCAGCCTGTTTACTTCAGTCCAGGGAAGCTTCCCAAGGGTAGCGAGACAGTGCGATCCCTTAAGAGCTGGTGGCGCCCTGAACAGTGACTGGGTCTGTGCTCAGTTTGAACTAACATGAGTTAAGACTGGCCAGGAGACAGGGTGGCAAACTCAGGCCTGAGGAGGAGAAAGGTTCAGAAGTGACTTAGCAAGACACCTTTTGAGCTTTTACCAATAAAGAAATCGAGGCTCAGAAACAAAACAGTTTCCCCACAAGGACAACCAAGTACAAAATCCTCATCCTCATCCGAGCCTGTCTACTGTCTCTGGCCACTTCTCACTCCTGCCTTATTTACGTTCATCTAAAGAATGGGCTGTCAATATTTACAAGGCAGGATTTCAGGGAAAGCTAAGTGGATGTGGACATGGAGAACATAGTTACATGGGCTCATAGCCTGGAACACGGATGCCTCACGGTGAACTCAGTTTACCAGCCAGACTGCTTGGCTTAAGATAGCAGCTTGTATGTTTCTTCCATGGTAGACCCAAGAATAAACCAACATTTAAAAAAAAAAAAAATAAGTATCAACTTCAAGAGTCTCGTCCATTGGTATAAAGATTTTAAAAGTGGATGGCAATTTTTAAAGGAGGAAAGCTAAAAAGCACTGTGATACTGAAGTTCATATATTTTAACTTTAAAAGTACATGTGTGAGCTGGGCGTGGTGGCGCACACCTTTAATCTCAGGACTCAGGGAGGCAGAGGCAGGCCGATCTCTGTGATTTTGGCCATCCTGGTCTACAAAGGGAGTCCAGGACAGCCAAGGCTACAAAACAAAACAAAACAAAAAAACAAAATACGTGTGTGTGCGTGGGCACATGTACATGACGGCCAGAGGACAACTTGCAGCCCTAGGCCATAAGTCACCTTTACACACTGAAACATCATGACGACCAAGGCATAATTTTTCTATGAGAATTTTCTATTTTCTGATCCTTTAAGGGAAAATAAATTTACATTTTAATAGATAGCCCCATTTTAATTTCTTTCTGGTCCTTTAAAAAGTAGTTCCCTAAATACTTGACTTTATTGCAAAGCGGCAGCCTATTAAGGATTTTTCTTATTTGCAGGCATATGATAAATCTTCATCCCCTTCTAGATAAAGTGTACACTTCATGTTGACCCCTCAATTTAAAACTGAGGAGAAATTCGGGCAGGGAAATGTAATATCCAGAGAGCGGGGAATGCTGGATGTGAGGAAATGTTCATGTTATGAGCTGGTGCTTGCCAAGTCAGGACCTATCCCGGGAGCCCGGGTTTGTGGTTTGCCTGGCTTAGAAAGCCGGTGGTTTCTGACAGTAGGCTTCTTCTTGCAGATGGCCAAGCTGCGCAGCCTCTTTGCCAGCGCAGAGAACGAGCCCCCGGTGCCTCTGGTGGGGAATTGGCGCCCTCCGCAGCCGATCAAGGGCAGGGTGGTGAAGGCCTCCTTCAAGTGAGGCTCTGGGCTTGCCCTCTTCAGGAAAGGAACCTGCCCCTGAAGAGCCAGCTTGCCTCATCCTGGTGCTCCCTGCTTTTCTACACCTATAGGAAAAAGAGACGCAGTCACGTGAAAGCACAGTGCCTTTTGACAGGTTCTAACCCAGACGCATGCATTTCACACCTAACCTTTGTAATAACCACCTTTTCTATAAACGTAGTGTTCCTAGTATGGATTCAGTGAAGAAGAAATAGATGGAAAAAACAGAGACACAGAGCAGCGTGTTGTCGAGCATATTAAGTTTCTCAGAACCTCAGCATTCCCGTTTTCCTGCTGAGTGCTGATACTACGGAAAGGATGGCTTATGCTATGTCTGTGGGTAGGGAGGTGTGTGCCAGTCCCACCACAGTTAAAGCGAAAGCACACGTTAAGAACATTGTGAACTTCAAAAACTGAATTGAAAATGTGTTTTTACCTCGGATAATACCAGCAAAACGCCATCACTCATTAAAATTTTTGCCTACTACCAAGTTCTTCTGATTTTAGTTATCTGTAAAACATACACCCACAAGACCAGGTGTTTTAAAATTTTTGCTCCAGCATTTAAATGTCTTCTTCATAACGATGATTTTCTTTGCCCAAAGCAGGGTCATTTGTTTTTTGTTTTTTTTATTTCACTACTTTTATCTTTGCATGCCTATTGAAAACAAAATAAACCAAACAAAAACAAAAACAAAAGAAAACCTTATCTCTGGTGTCTTTTGAATCAGAGGCTGGAATGAATGGTTCCTAGAACAGGAAGAGGAAGGAGTGAACGAGGACACTGAAGACAAGAGTTGGCACTATCACAGAAACGATACACAGGGTGTAACGACACACAAATGAAGTGTGTCTATTTTCTATTTAAATTGAGATTTTAGATTAAAACACTTGTTTTAAGGTTGCACATGAAGTGACAAGTTCCAGTGTGGCATTTTCACGCCATGAGTCTTTATACTTTCTTATAATTCAGCCCCTCCATCAATACCCTCTCCTTTCCACAGCTGCCCTCCAAAAGTCCCCTCCTCTGCTTCAAAGCACATGAACTCCATTGTCCTTCCCCTTTTAGATCTATCTCTTTCTCCCCTCATAATTCCCTTTCTATTTTCCTTGCATTTCCACACACATATATAATTTTAAACCGAGGTTTTACATATGAAAGAAAATATTCAGTATTTGTCTTTCTGAGTCTGGCTCATTTTCTCTAATAAAATTGTGTTGTGTGTGTGCAATTAGTGGAAAAGCAGTACAAATGACAAAAATGGATGAAAGCCAGAAGGACAAACTTCTCAAGTGTGTTTTTTGTAAGCAATGTAGCAATGAAAGACTCAAGTTCTGAATTCAGATGCTATGATACTCAGGAAAGGAGCAAGGCAATTTGCAAAGGTGTCTAATCAAATTGCAGACCTGAGCAATGGGTGTTGATCCATCTCATCATGTGAATATTCCCAGAGGGTCAAGTCAAGGTTGACTAAGAGTTGGGGACATGGGTTAGTGCAACAAGCTTTTAGGCTTGACAGAACTTTTTACATCAATTTTTTTTTTTTTTTTTAAAAATGTACCTCAACATGACATGCCCAACAGGGCAGAAATGCGTATACTTGACCTTTGATACATTTAATACCTCTAGAAACAAAGTCCAGTTATACAGCCAGGTTTTTAGGTTATCTTTCATCGCTTCAGTGGTCCATATGTTAGCTACTGTAGAATAGGTCAGCAATAAGCACCGTTACCTCAAGGAGTGAAAACAGTCCTAGGTTAGGGGAGCCCTGAGACACTGGAAGTCAAATCATGTGACAAAGTCCTGTGAGGCTAAAGTTATTTAATAGATTACCACTTGGGTGAGGTAAAACCAGGTTGGTCAGTGTGAAGAGGATGTGTTAATTAAATCCCTTGAAATTAGGAGGTGTGGAGCTCTGATCATTAGTGGTAATACACAAACCGCTGGTCTCAGGGCATTTAGCCTGTAATGTGCAGAGCCTGTAAAGAATACATTCATTACTTACGCTGTGTGCAGGAGGCACATGCTCTCACATGGTTAGAAATGGTTATTTTTCTAGTACGCAGGCGGGAGGAGGCTGTCTTCCTGGACCATAAGCTGCAGGAGGGCATAGCCACTGTTCACAGCACTGTCATTTGCCTTGTTATCTAATACTGTGTCCAGCAGAAAATAACGACTTGCCAAGTTTTAGGTGAACAGATAAATGTAGAGGGGTCCAAGGAAGGCTCAGCCTCTGGAACCTCATAGCACTGTAAATATTAATACTAGTACTGCTTTTATTCACCTTACTTTACATCTTCCTAGGGAATAATTTCATTCACTTGAGTTAGAAAATTTACAGGGCTCAGTCTGCTGTCACTGTCAGTGATCAATAGTGCAGGCAATAATCACCTATCTTAAGCTCCCTGCCAGCTTCTCACTGCTCCTAAAGTGTGGTGCCTTAATAAACTTCTTTTGGAGCATTGAAGAAAGAAAGGCATGATTATGCATTCAAGGGACCATCATTTTCCAGAACAGCTCCAGGTCTCCAAACAATTGCCCTTGAGGCTTCTGTAGCTTTCAGAGCAGTGCGCCAAGAGCTACCATCTGAAAAAGATTCTGGAACCTGCCAACCTTATTCCTCAGGCTGTAATTGCAGCTATCCTAACATTTCAAAGTAGGGAGAAGCCAAGGTAAATTAAGTGTTTCATAATGTTCAGATAATGATATGCTTAAAAGTCTATATAGAGGGTGATGTTGGCAAGGGGTGAGCGGTACAAATAAATTTTAGTCCTTATATTTGTAAAATGGAGAAATACTGTATTCTGAGAAGGCAAGTAATAATTGAGTACTCCGATGTGAAATGTTTCAGAATGTGAAATGAATGAATCATTTTGCATATGAATGAATGAGAAAGAACTATTCTGCATAGATAGTATAAAACTCTAGTTCTCAGCATCTAACTGTGGCCACTTCTGTCTAGTGGGGATGAGCCAGCCATAAATACGTGGAAACATTTGAAATGGTGTTACACCAGATACCAGAATAACAACTGACACAAGCAAAATTGACCTTAAAATCCATATGGTCCAAAACCACATTAACTGCATCTACTGAAAATTAGTTTTCGATTTTCTTCTAAGGCTTTATTCAATATAGGAATGACTCTGGACATACATAGTATATTATTTAGTATAAGAATAACAAAAGGGGTAAGAAAAAACAATGACTCTTTGTGTTTGACTTCAGTTCATATCTAATGTATGTAAATTAATGATTTTTAATAAGTGACTTCCTGGGTATTAAGAGTTGACCCAGCCATGTTTACATGTTATTTTCATTTTGAACACTAGATGGCAATAAAATCTGTAACAAAAATGTCTCTTAAAAGCCATCTTGTGTTTCAATCATGTTGATGTCTAAATTGCTGTTTTTCAAAGGTTTTTTTTTTTTTTTTTTTTTTTACTGACATTTTGTTTCTTTTGCTTACATGTTTGCTATTATCTAGTAATAGTGATCGACCAAGAAGATGAAGAATGTTTACTTATTCTTAAGAGTCTTAGCTGAAAAACGAGGACTGAAGGCTAACAGGAAAGCACTGAGCTAAGAGTGAGACCAATATGCACTGAGCATTTTAAAGTCCTGTTTAGTGTGTAGAATGATGAGAAAATTACACAGCATCTTCTGGACAAGAGACCATGGGGGTCTGGAATCTGTGTGCCTGTGTAACAATCCATCTACTGAATCCATCCAGTGAAGGCTATTTTAAGAATTAAATCAATTCACTTAAAATACAATGAAGTGTCTTTCTGAAAAATTGCCCAGTAAGGGTTAACCCTTACCTTTTTAATATTTATTTTACTTAAACCTAGAAAAAAAATTAATGGCTTATTACAATCCCAAAGGTCATGTCTTTTTCTTTTTAATTTTTTTATAATTTATTCATTTTATATCCCAATTATATCCCCTGCCTCTCCCTTTCTCCCATCCTCTTCCCCTAGTCCACTGAAAGAGGATTCTCCTAAGAGAAGAGTTCTCTTCTGCCATCTGTCCATAGCTTATCAAGTCTCATCAGGATTGCCTGGATCCTCTTCCTTTGTGGCCTGGCAAGACCACATGGCCAGGGGCAAATGATCAAAGAGCAGGCAACCTGTCTCTCATGACAGAGACAGCCCCTGCTCCTCTTACTTGGGGACCTACATGGAGTCTGAGTTGCCAATAGAGCAGGGCGTCTAAGTCCTCTCTCCATGCATGGTCAAAGGTCATGTCTTAATGTAACTGTTTGCAGTGTCAAGAATGTACATTTCATTTGTTCAGACTATAGGAAGAGATATGAGAATTCCCATTTACTTCTGCTTATTATTTGATGAATTTCTTTTAAATTTATGTTTATGTATGTATATAGGTAGGTAGGTAATTATGTGTTGTGTGTGTGCACATAGGAATTCATGCATGTGCTGTGTATATGTCAGAGTGTTCCTATGAATGTCAAAGAATAACTTTTGGGAAGTTGGTTCTTTACTTTCACCACATGGCTCTTAGAGGATCAAACTCATGGTCTTTAAACTTGGCAGCAGAATACTTTCCCTTCAGAGCCATTTTGCTGGCCCAATGATGATATTTAAAAGCAATAATTCATGTGCCAAATATTCAGTGAAGAAAGATGTGGTCACACTGAACCAACACATCACCTAAAGAGGAGGTTTCTAAAAAGACTTAATAATTTTCCTGGAAAAGTTTCTGTGAAGGAGCTATGTTTTTACTGGAGGAGGTGAATAATCAGTGATACATCCAGAAAATCAAGCAGGGAACAGAGGCTACAGAATTATAATTTTCATTTCTGTTTGACACTGGCTTTTCAAATGTCATGAAATAGCAGTCCCCTACAGTGCTGCATGAGGTGGAAAATCCATCTTAATAACGAAGGCAGAAAGCCTCCCGGGGTGAAATTAATTTTGAGCATGCCTGGGCATGTCCTAAAGTGAGGATGCCAAATATAATTTACAAAAGTGAAGAAGGGCTTAATGCTTTGAGGGGTTTCAAGTCCAGTGGAATGAAATGAAGCCAGGCAGTCTAAGCATAACACCTATGAGCAAGGGGTTATCCAGTGCTAACGAGCTATCTTCTGCTGATGCGAGGGTGCTTAGCAGGTGGAACCTGTGAGTGCCTGGCCGGGTAGATAATCACAGGTGATCAGCCAGAGTAAGAGGAGTTTAACAGCACAGCCCCAGGGGAGAGTGCACTGCGGCAGCATGAGCCCAGTGATCTAAAAGCTAATTTTAGCCAGTTGAGAAGCCGCTCTGTTGTAAACAGGAACCAGGTTCTCCCTTGTATTTGAATCAGTCCCAGGCAGAGGACCCCGAAACCTTAGGGAAAGTATGTTTTACCATAAAGTAAGCAATTTATCTGTTCCACCTTGCCTGTAAATTTCTACCGCACTCATGTGCTCATTTGAAATTTGGATGGTTCCAAACACATTTGTTAAAGGGAAGTGATTCCCTAAGGGCCTCTCAATTCCCGTGGAAGTATAATACAAATGTACAAAGTACAAAGTTCTCAGAAATCATACTTCTGCCTCTCTGTGATCAGTTTAGAGCAGGACCTCAGGTCACTAGGGGCATACCCGGATGGCGCTAGAGCCCCAGAGAGACCGGCAAGGGTGAACTGATTGTGCAAGCCGAGCAGAACTGATGTTAGAGCAGGGTTCAGTGCTGGGCAAAGCTGAGAGA